ACCAACATTGGGAAGATGGCCATACTCCCAAAATTGCTATACAGATTTAATGAAATCCCTATCAGCCTACCACCGACATACCTCACAGACATAGAGAAGTCATTTCTAAAATTTATCTGGAACCAGAAGAAACCTAGAATAGCAAGGGCAATTCTGGGCAATAAAGACAAGGCAGGAGGCATCACAGTTCCTGACATGAAATTATACTACAAGGCTATTGTGATAAAATCAGCATGGCACTGGCATCAAATAGATCTGAGGATCAATGGAATAGATTAGAAGACACTGAAGCCCCTACGAACACACTCAACCACCTTATCTTTGACAAAGGGGCCAAACATACTCACTGAAAGAAAAATAGCCTCTTTAACAAACGTTGCTGGAAAAACTGTCTCCCCACATGCTGAAAACTCAAACTTGACCCAGGTCTATCACCATGCACTAAACTAAAGTCAAAATGGATGAAAAATCAAAACATTAAAGCAGAGACACTAAATCTCCTAAGAGAAATTAGGTGGAATTCTTGAAGACATAGGAGTAGGCAAACAGTTCATGGACAGAAATCAAATCGCATGGGAAACAGTTGAAAGAATTAACAACTGGGACGTGCTGTTACTCAGAACTTTTTTCACTTCAAAAATAACTACGAACAAAGTGAAAAGGCAACTCACAAATTTGGAAAAAATCAAGACAAAGAATTATTCAGACAAAGGTCTGCTCTCTAGAATCTATAAAGAATTAAAAATCTAGTGCCCCAAAATTTAAAGACCCAATCCAGAAATGGGCATCCAAGATGAACACACACTTCTCAGAGGAAGAAATTAAAGAATCAAATTAATATACGAAAAACTTCTCCACATCACTAGACTTTTGTGAAATGCAAATTAAAACCACATTGAGATATCATCTCACCCCAGAAAGAATGGCTATCATAAAGAAATCACCCAACAACAAATGTTGGAGAGGCTCAGGGGTAAAAGGAACCCTTCTCCACTGCTGGTGGGAGTGTAGACCGGTGCAACGGTTGTGGAAATCAGTATGGAGACTCCTTAGAAATGTTGGTCTGGAAATCCCGTTTAAACAAGCTATTCCTCTACATGGAATTTTCCCAAAGGATCTGAGAACATAATATTATAGTAATATATGAGTGCCTACGTTTATAGCACAACAATTTGTGATAGCCAAATCTTGGAAATAACCAAGATGCACATCACCTGAAGAATGGTTGAAAAAGATGTGTTTTTTTTACACAATGGAGTATTTTTCAGCTATTAAGAATGATAAACTCAAAGCCTTTATATTGAAGTGCATGCCACTTGGACATATAGTCATAAGTGAAATAAACAAGACAAATATCTTGTAAATATCATATAGTATCCCTAGTACAAGCACTCAAAGGAAGAAATACAAATAGAAAGATATAATACAAGTAAAAGTAAAGCAGGATTTCAAGGACTAACTAATCAAGAGAGGGAAAGGAGAAGACCTAGGAAACATGACAATGTCAAGCCATACTGCTATATGTAGAAGATGAGCAAGGCAATGATCCTGAGAATCTCCAGAAGATTTTTTTTATTTATTAGTTATATTTATTTAGAAGCATTCAGAATGTCAACAAAACAATTGCAACTTTTTTTTTGCAATTACAGTTTACAGAACAATTATTTCATATAAGCTGCATCAGAGACAACTGAAGATGAAAAGCTACCATGCCCATATATAACTAATTTGTGCTGTGCACCAACAAGTACCTGCTTTAAATTTCCATGCCAATTTACAACCCCCATACTGTACCAGGCAAGGTTAGTGGCTATTGAAAATACCACCAGGACCAGAAGATTTTTTAATCTAGCAATTAATTGGAAAGATTCTCACCCTGACTAACTATATATACTGATACCTGTGAACTAAGCTACTGCACAGTTTTGTAATAGTAGTTTCATGCTTGGAGTGCCTTTCCTTCTGGCATTCTGAATATGGGCTACATGTCATGACATGCGAGTTGTTGCTATGATGTCTCTCGGATAGGTGGATTTCCAAGAAGAAAGGGTGGTGAAGGAAAGCAAGAGACAGGAAAGGTATATTGTGGGACTGTCCTGCTTCAAGGTTGTATATGGTGAGATTTTTGGACTTATGTGCAAACATGAGAAGTGTATAATTATTTATGCCTCCTTTAAAAATATATTCTAATTTTTAAATGTTTTTTATCATATTCTGTAGGGACTTAAAGTTCAACATATCAATACTTGATGAAAAATACCTCTTCCATATTGTGACTAAGATGTTTG